ACCGAACACACTGCTCTCCTTCAAGCATCCGTCAACGTTCTGGGGTTTAAATCCCCGGTGACGACCTATTCCCAGATCCGACCGCTGTGACCGCCTCAAGCAACTTACGAAATCAATAAAACTGAACATCACAAAACGAAATTCGCATGCTAAACCTCTTACTCTCGTCGATCAAGGAGGGAGCTGTGAGGGGTAGGGCATCCACCTGTTTGCTCATAAACGCAGAGGCGTTCGCATGCTGTTTTAACTTGCAGAAATATATAGCTACACAGCTACTGACAAAGCCCTCCGGAGCGCGTCTTCCGAGCAGGTTGACGCAAAGTAGAGGGTCAACAACAACAATCAGAGACAGCCCAGCATTCAGGGGGTCATTTCCAATGTCAGAAGGTCCTTGGAGGCGCCCTCAATTGTCGTCACATATAAATCAAGGATGCTCTTGCAGACCGTGAGAACTCGACCAGTCTACGAGGCCGACTACCGAGATGGGGACTGCGACTTTACTAGGGAGCCGGTGGCTCCGAACAGCAACCGGCGACAGAGCGCACCGAATCAGACTCCTCGAGTTCCACAATGCTGAGGTTCCTGGTGAACATTACGTGAGTCTGAAGGCCCACCTCTCGGATGCAGAATCGGCTATTCAAAATCCTTCCCCCTCCCCTCCCCTTCCTTGCCCATCTTACCAACGTTTTAGGCAAATTGACAGACACAGCAGGTGGGGGACCAACACGATGGCTGCCAGCGGCCCGTCACTCACAGATGTTGGCGATGAGGGGGGAAGGCAGACCGCCAACTTCACGGGACCAAAAGGATGTGTGAAGGTCATTGAAGACTCCTCGTACCGCTCTACGTTTTCATCGAAAAGGTTCGCTCGCTAGACGCTAACGAAGTTAACAGCCAGGCCAACCATTTAAGTTCAGGTCAAACCTCAATCAGACTGTGCAAATCAGATCTTCAAATGTGTTGCCATCTGAACGCCCAACTTTTGTCTGAGACATTCTTCGGCCCATAACTGACAAAACCATCATTCGTGAGTTACTTTCATACACTTAACATGCTACCGTATATACAGAGATGAATTTCTACAACTTCGACATCGCATTCGCTCTCAATTTTTTGTGTCTGGATGACAGGTGGCCTATTTCACTGACGCATTCATCCGGCTCAGCACTCCTTGGGATGCATTGTGTTCGGGACGTTCTTCCGTCTCATGCCAACGTGCCAAGTCACCGGCACACGATGACGAGACAGCTCCAGCACACCCATAGTTGATGCCTCAACTGCATCTTTTTACAGGTCGTAACGTTACCATCGTACGCGATCCGAGTTACTCCCGTCATCGACACACGCTCTCAAACCCGCATATGCACTGGGCAATTTCACGCATTTCATCGTCTGCCTCACCATCGACACCACTTCGTTCTGTCTGGCGGGGAGCTGTAGCGGGCAGCCAACATGACCGGTCTGGCGTCACTGTTCAAGGCCTCGTTGCCTCAAGGTCATTCACCCCTTGCAGTGAGCCGTCCCAGACGCGCTGACCTGATGTCAGACGACCGACAGCTCGGGCATACCTACGTCCGCACAGCCGCAGCTGACCATGAGGCCACCGCCCCCCTGCAACTACAACCGAAGCCACTAGGACACCACCCCTCGGCAAATGCAACACACGCCGATTGGAGACCACTTGAGCTTGGCGTACGAGCCTACAAAAGCGGCTGCCACCACTGTCCCAAGGACTCTCAGGCATGACGCAGTCAACATCAGCCCTGGCTTCGCCGGTGGCCACTGCCGCCTGAGGGGACAATTCCGGGCTCTGTGCACAATAAACCCTTCATTCCGGAGAAAAGGGGGACTGGAGCGGCTGCCATATGGACACTACCGACAGCTTGACCGTCACAAACGACGTCCATCGCGTGCCGCTGTGGATGGGCGCAACGCCGACGACTCGCTTGTGGGCGGGCTCGTGCGGCAGCTACGGCACACACACTTCTCCGTCACACACCTTACTTTCGATCTTCGGAAGTTGACGGCTGACCCAACGCAAGCATATCTCACTGATCCCTCAACGCTCAGCTACCCGACCTGCAACTCTCCAGCTCACCCGATACGGGTTTCTAGGCACCGGGTACTTGCTGCAAATCCCAAATCCCCACATGACCGTCCCAGCGACAATGCCAGACACACAATTATCTCTAGGTTGGACTGCCTCCGGACACCGAGGGTCTTTGTTTGGGCCTGAATCGGCCACAAAGTTGGGCAGCTTACGGTCGACACGGTACACTTGAGTCACAAACACTTTTAGTGCGTCTTACTTGCGGAGCCTACGACAGCACCCAGATCTACAGTCGAATGCCAGCTCGCTGTCTCCGATTGAATGACTCGAAGTGTGGCAACATTTCCACTTGCACCTAGCACGACTGTGCCCGTGCCTGATCTGGCCGGTCTCGATGAGGTCGAGGGCTGTCTCTCCACGCGTGAAGATCTGCGGCGGCGGGTCTAGGGCGGTATATTCGCTCTCTCCCTCCCTCCTCCTCCCCGCTCCCCCAACAAAGAAGGCCGAATACAGGGGGTTCAGGCGCCACTCCTATGCCTTGCAGAACTGTGTCGAGTCGGTCTCCTCTTCGACGGGTACGAGAGGACACCAACGCCGAGGTGAGGACAACACTGAGCTCATGACGCGGCCAGCGGAAAACCCGTCCAAGGACCTCAGTTGTCTTCTTGGATGGTCTCAGATGTCCTTGTGTTGTCGCAACGACTGTTGACCTCATTAATTGTACCCACACAGGACGGCAACTATCCTATTGTTGGTCAACCCCGTATGAGTTCATTTAGAACGCCACGAATCACGTATGAGCCACGCCCCCGCCGACACCAAAGATGACGATTTGCCTAGGACACAGCAGCAGTGAGGCGGAGACGCTAGCTCTCAGTTGGCGGCTCGTTCAACGGGACCCGGCCATATTCTCAAGTTTTAAGAGGCCGAAAACCTCGCAAGGGGTGACAACCGCGTGAGCCTCGAGCTGCTGGAATCATGTTTCTCAGGCCCTTAATCCATCAACAAGCGCAATGACCTCCCGTTAGCGTATTCCGTGCTGAGAGTTTGCGCAATAATCCCAGTGACAGTTAGACAGGTCGCCGGGTAACTATCACGCCAATACTCAGCATGGATGATGGAATTGGTGTAATTAACGACTCGGATGCGGACTGACGAGCCGCCATCGCCTTAATTACGACCTCCAGCTGTGATTGCGAGAACTATTAATTACGGCACGCACATGGTCCCATGGCGGCCATGCGCTATAAACACTGCACTCCTCGTGCCACCATTACCCTGTTACGCTGTTTCTGATGGTTGGCTCGAGTGAAAATCCGAAACGTCAGGCCAATAAATTTCTTGTTCCGGTGATCGCATCTTCGTCTTCTGGACTGCTTCGTGGAACGCCCACACCAAGGGCCGCTGGGTGTTCATCCATAGGGCAGCTAGTAGATTTAAATAAACTCCACAGCTCAAGAATCAACAGGACACAGTGCCTAGGATAAGGAGCTAGATGTTCCCGCAATCAGTCGCATAGGTCGGTAAAGTAGCCCATCCAGAGAAACATTCAAAATCAAAACATCAGTAGCAAAGTTGCCGAAAGGAAAAGAGGACGGCGGAGGGGTGGGGGGAGCTAAGGCTCGGATAGGGCGCGAGATGGTAGCCTTAACATGCATACACAGATATCCCACTGACTGTATTCTCAAAGGCTGGGGGGCGGAACGACAGATAGTTCGGACGCGGATAGGAA